CACTCTTCGGCTTCCTCTTCTATGTGTTAGGATAAATGGATGTGCAGTAGTACACATGGCAGCAAAGATAAAGAGTGACTGTAATACACTTTGAGAATTGGATCTCGCCGTCCATTAAAAGAGCTGAATTGGAACAGTTTTCTAGATGGGGAAAAACATAAGGAAGTGAATTTTGTAATGGATGAATACTGACGTTTTTTTTTTTTGTCCTTGCTTAAGGTGGTCACAAAGACATTTCATGGGGCAGGCATCGTGGTGCCTGTGGATAAAAATGATGTAGGATACAGAGAGCTTCCTGAAACAGATGGTAAGTGCAGAACCTTACGAACTTAAGATACACAAGACATTTTGAAGGTTTTTTCACGGCTTAGTAATGTACCGGTTTTTTGGTTTATTATAAAAATCTCCATTGTAGGTGTCTTATCATTTTCAGTGACATTTGTATTGTGTAGAATAAAACAAATTCAGACCCTTTCTGTACACTGGATTTTGTCTCGCTGTTTTCCTGTTTCACAGTTTTGGTTTATATTTGTGTTCTGTTAAATACTGACATACTGTTAGATTTTCAGGATTTATTTTCCTTAATTAAAACTGTAATTATTATGAAATTTTACTTTTATTATAGTGATATTTAAAATGCATGCAAAGGCAATGTAATCTTCCAAGTGTAGTGAACAGTCGCAGGAGCCAGTGGAGAAATTGCCTGTACTGTAATGACAGAACTGGCCACTAGTGTCCGCCAGAGACCACAAGAGGTGAAAAACGAGCATAGATTGTTAGTACTTTCGCTGATTCTGGGCCGCTGTCTGATTTAAAGGTAATGGTACACTTTGCAGTGTACCTCGGGTACCTGCCTGCTCTTGTTTTTTAAATGCTCTTCCCCTTAGTTTCCATGTTTCCTGCTGTTTGTTCTGCCCAGATCTGCTGGGTTGATTTTGATAATACCTCTGACCATTTGAAATATCAAGTCCTTTTTCTGAAACAATGTTCAAGGTCACTAGAGTGTTGCAGCATACTACGTTTGCCATGCCTTTTGGAAAAATTGTAAATGAGAGTTCAGTGACAATGGTGGTAATGGGAGCTGAAAATATATGCAGAGCTACTGAAAACCTTGAAGTGGACACTTGCTGTTACCAGCAGAACCACAAGAACAGAAACCACATAACACATAACACCAATTTTGTAGTATAATATGATCAGAAAGTTTACTGCTGGGCTAGGGACCCTTATCCACAATGAGCCAAACTTGGCATTTTCCTAACCTTTCTTCTTTTGTGTTCTGTGAAGAGATGCTATTTTGCTGTGAGTGTGCAAAGTGCCGTCTGAAAACTACCCTTGAGTGGCACTGAGCAGAATTGCTTGGAAACGCAGAGCACCTGTTAAGTCACAGAGAAAGCCATTAGCATATTCCTTATT